TGACATATTTTGTGAGAATGAAAAGGACGAGCCTCCTGTCTTTGAGAGTCATCCATTAGCTGTGAAAGAGTTAATATCCTGGCTGAAACAGAGGCAGCTAGGACAAGACATGTCGCTCTGGACATGCATAGTCTGTCAAGACTTAGTGTAGGCATAGAGCTACCATGGAGTTAGACCTGAAAACCACTGACCAGCTCTTTAATTTTTAACAAGTTCTGGATGAAACTTCCGTGGAAACATCCTGACTGGATTCTCAAGCAATGGAGAAAGGTGCAAGCTGTGACATGTGGCTCAACCAGAGCAAGAGGGGACAATCAAGGATGTTTGGGCAATGCAAAGAGGTTGTGCTAAGGTTATGCACTCGAGCATGGACTTTGCTTTTCTAGCCTGATGTCACTAAATCTTACATTGCAGTTCATTAATAAATACCATCTTGTTTAGAGAAATTTGGCCTGTGCCACAATAGATACCTGCTGGTTGTATGGCTGCAAGAAGAACAAGCAGAGTAGGGGCCTGCACAAAATGTTGTGACTGATGCCCTGATGGGCAAGTTCAAGAGAGTGGTGGGCACTTTGAGCTGTCTACTACCCACAGTGGTTGATGCTCTGTAGATGTGGTGGGAAAAGCTGTCCTGAGGGCCAAATGGTCCAGTGGTTAGATTCAGCTGTGCAAATGTAGATGTCTAGAGAAAATGTAGATGCTGCACCAGAGTATCCAAAATACCCTCAGATGTCTGGCAAATGTGACGCAGGGGCCATGAGAGACCTGCTCCCAGGTCTCTGGGGTGCTCTGGGGCATCTCAGCTTGACATTTCACAGTTAAGGAAACAAACTGAACCCAGAGAATCTAACATGGTCTTAATCTCTTTTAGACTTGCAGCTAACAAAGAAGCTGAGCACAGGGACCTTATCTTTTGTGGGTCAGAGCTGAGGAACTTCCTGTGGTAGAAAATTTAAACTGAGAGTCTGGGCCTTACAAAGTGAAAGGAGCCCTCCCGGAGAAGCTGTGTAAGGGTAAAGCACTACACACATACACACACACACACACACAACTTCACTCACATCAGGATTTGCCAGCTCATTATGTTATCCAGCAGGGGATTATTTTTTTTTCAAAGCAGTGTAAAAGTAGATCGACTGATAAAAAAGAGCCTTTTTGTTGTGAGAGCTTGCTGAGTTTGGAAAACTGCTTTCAATGCTATTGGCAAACACTTTACAGTGTAAACAGGGCCTACATCAGACAGATAAATAAGTGCAGATGCGCTTTTCTGTAGGAACCATTTGGTGATAGACAATATATTGAAAAAAAGATTCTCATCAAATTAATTGTGGCCAATTAGACATAACCCCTTCCCCTCATCCCTGAATCCCCTCAAATTGCGGCTGCCTGAATGGGAATAGCTCCTATCACCTGTTTCATTATGCAGATTGATATTCGAACATCTGAGAACAATGCTGCTTTCTGCGCTGCACGGCTCCAAATTGCTAATGAAACAGCTCTGCCAGACAAGTCACTTAAACTGCTCTAGCTGCTGCTGCCGACAGCTCTCATGGCGAGTTGCAGGGGGGAGCGGGAAAGGGGCTCTCCACTCAGAATGTGCTAATAGCCCCCAGCCTGTGTGTTTATGGCTCTCTGGAGCAGGAAGATATGATTTCTACTCTCTGACTCTGAGAGGCTACTTTCCCAAAGCTGTGGTCTGATTTAGAGTTAATGTTTCTTGATTTCAATTTGTGGAGTGAGAGGATGAAGAGGCTGGCAGCTGCTGGACTCTGAACACAGACATCTCATGTCCCAGAGCTACCCTAGCCCTTCAGGCACACTTGGTGTCTGCTTCCCACCCCCATCTCCAGTAACTACCTCCTCCCCACATCTGATGCGAAGCTAGGTCCGTAAGGGATTTCTTTCATGGAGGAGAGGTGTCACATCACCTTGGGTACAAGGGGAACATCTCATGACCAAGGCCCCATGGTGAGCTACCTGGAGGCTGCAGATGCGGTACACCTGTGCCCAGGGCTGTCTGGGAGAAGAACTGCAGTGAAGTCCTTGGGTTCCCTCCCAGTCAGTCACCCTTTGAGGTAGGTAGAGCTGGGCACCAGAACAGGGCTTCGGCTGCAGGGAAGTGTGAGGTGTGGTGGACCTGTACAGCCCTGTTTGCTGCTCCCTGTGACTCTGCAGCTGGGCTTGGTCAGCAGCTGGTGTAGTTTCTTGTCTTCCCTTCCCCTGTTATCACCACAATTTTTTGCTAGAGCATCATAGGGCTCCTCTTTGCAGATGCCTGGGGTAGAGTACTTGTGACTTAGGGCTCTGGCAGGAGAAACATTTACATGAATTGATGGGAGTGTTCTGTCATTAATCTAAATTCTGATCCTTTCTGTCAATATCTGTAGTTAATTCCTTTGTCAATATTTACTGAGACATTGAGATTACCTCTGCACAGGCTGCTTCCATGGAATGGCCCCTGCATTGTGCCTCAGCTCCTGTCTCCTCTCAGTCTCCTTCTAGACCAGCCTGCTGAAGTGCCCTGCTTCTCTGGGGCTGATACTTCTGTTCCAGGCCCACCCACAGACCTTGGGAGAAACCAAAGAAGTGACTTTCCTTACTGAATTCTTTTATAACAGTGTCAAATAACATTTCTCCTTATGTGTCTTCTTCAGTTCCTCCACATATTTTGCTCCATGACACACTTTTTACCCATCTGTTCCATATATTTTCTGAGAAGGCTTGTATATCCTCCTGATCCTTCAGTATGACCTGTGTGGAGCAGAAGAGAACTCAGAAAGATACAGCAGTTTTCTGCTCCAGGGAGCACTTTGGGGATCCCTCCATCCCTGGGCTGAGCTGTGCCCACCTAATGCTTAGCAACGTTGGAGATTTTCCACCTGCCATCTCCTGCTAGAAAGCTGCGTGCATGTGCCACTATTATTTTTCAAATGTGGGGAAGTTCTCTGCTTACCTCCGACTCCATGGACTGTGAAGTCATCTGGGCATCAATTCCTTTCAGCTTTGCAAACACCAAACCATTTGGCTGGGGATGTGTGTTCCTCTTAGGCATTCAAGCTAAAGATCTCTGGTCTAGGTCTCATACACATTCTTTCAGACTGTTTCCTGTCTTGTCGCCCACCAGGCTATGGTTGAAGTGTGTGTGCATGTCGGTGTGTAGAGAATAATTTGCATTTTCAGACTTTCTCTGACCAAGGAATGAGTGGGGGTAAGGGATGATGAGTGCGCAGTATGTGGTTTTGTAGAAGCCATCAGCATGGTTTCCTTCTCTGGAAATATGCAAACTCCTGTTTTAGCATTACAGGGAAGAGACTGTGTTCCTTTACTCCTGGTACAGCAATGCCCTTCTTGTGATGAGTTCCCTAAGCTGCTGCTATAATCAGCTTGGTAGAAAAGAATAATTTTAGCACACTGCAGTGACTTTTCTCTCGTCAAAGTTTGCCTTCGTTACAGGTTTTGATAGCTATGATTTTGTCTTCATCCCTAGTGGATGTGACAAGGTTCTAAGAGCCACCTTACTTCCTCTTTTATGCTATGTGAAACCTCTTTTTTTTTTTTTGCTATGTACCAACCTGTGTTTCAAAACCTAGTCCTGATGTTTTCTGTTTGCTTAAAGCAGTAAGATGTGTGTTCTCTCTCATATACTCATGTGTGCATGTACAAGCCAGCCCGTCTTGCCATCCACACTGAAGAGATGATTCCTTGCACAGCCGGATGAGTTGACTGGTACACAGACACAAGTGATGTGAATGGTGCATTCACCTACCCACAGACATAGCTCCTGTTTGGCCTTGTTGCTGAGATACTATGAATGAGATACACTGCTTTAGTGACTTTGGCCTCCTCAGATGAGTTGGCCAAGTTCCAAACTGATTTTGAGCAGAACTCAAGATTAAGGCTCATCCTCAAGGTTTTTAAGCTACAGCTGTAGACGACAGCTACATTTCCACCATAGAAGATTGTGTTACATGGCTGCTATATTCATGTGCTAGGTGAACTGTCACTGTTAAATGGGTTTGGTCTGACCATTAACGTTTGCTCAGTGTGCTTCTCAGGATCATCCAAATATATAGTCACAGCTGGGAGTCAAGAATTAGCACGAGGCAAGCTACTGCATGATATGCATAAAGAGAGGAAGGGGCTTCCTTCCATCTAACCTACATTTGCATCTTTTTCTGAACTGCTTATTGAGTTCCTAACTTACAATTCTGTGTTCCTTCTCATCTACTGGTTCTGGGGTTTTAAGCAGTCTTGATAATTGACAGTCTAAATTTTTCTGCTCATAAAACCCCAGAGAGCATTGATTATGACTTGAGTTAAGCAAGTGACATATAAAATCTCATAGCCTTTCAGCTGTAGAGGAATGTTATGATGAATGTATTTCTTGGGAGAAGCAAAATGTTTGGAGTATTCTGCCAGCTTTGTTCTGGGCATCAAATGTTACTAGTCACTTGCAGCCACTAATAGCATTTCATTTGGGATATTTGCCCAAAAGTTTGAAAGCTGATTGTTCTTTTGGTGAAGTGGGTGTGAGATTTTCTGAGAGACATCACTCCTCATTACATTTCTGCTTCAGTCAGAACCAGGAAGTGCAAAGCTATCCACAGAACTGAAAAGCTACTTTTTAGAAACTAAATGACACTTTGTGGATAAAACACGCATAGATTTTATTGACAATCTTTCCTTGACTGTGTTCCAAAGCTGCTATTACCTTTTCCTTTTTCTTTTTCCTTTCTCCTTTTATCTAACCTCCTTTTAATCTTTAATCACTGGATGTTTTTTGGACTTAATCCAGAGTGGACAAAAAGACTGCGCTGTTCTTGGTTCTTAGGCAGTAACAAGAGATGTTTGTGTTTGAAAAGAGTGAAATATCTTTTCAATAATACTTTCTAGATAATAGTAGAATAAAATCAGAACTTCCAAGGCGAATGTATTCTCCCAGTCAGAGGACTAGTTCTCACTGAAAGATTGTGAGGAATGTTCTTTTTCTGTCTCTCCAGTTCCAGAAACCCAACGACTTCTCACCCCCTTTCCGCTTTGGGACAGTTCCCAATGGCAGTACAGAAAGGAATATTCGCAACAACTACCCTGAAATGCACAGCTACATGGTGAAGTTCAATCAGAGGGGAGTGGATGATGCACTGTTCTCACTGAAGACTGGGTGAGGCTTTCTTCTTCCATGCTTACTTACCACAGAAACCTGACTTCGTTGCATACTTGTCTGGAAAATCTTTTGTGTGGTTTGGAAAATGAGCCTTCATTTTCATTCCGTGGTTAAAAGTATAGCAAGACTACACACAGCACAGCACAGGGGAATAATTCTGTGGTTCTCTTAGCTGGGTGTTTCTATTGACATCTGCATAAGAGTTTTTGGGTTTACTCTGATTGTAAGACTGTTTTTTTTTAAAAAAAAGTATCTCCTGTATCCTTGTGTATGTTGCCATTGTGTATATTGCTTCATCAAGATGCTTCTGATGGGTCCTTAAGCATACACAGGAAAAGCTCACACACCTCCGCGGACAAAGTTTTTTTCAGAGCATTTATATTGTCATGGGAAATTCCTTTATTTTCCCTTCTTCTGTGTATAAAAGATTATGTTAATCAGGAAGCTAAAACAATCCTTGTCAGACTAATCCCACTCCAGTGTATCACTGGCTAATGTAGTGTAATGGAAGGTGAGCTTGAGCTTGAAGCAAACAGTATGGAAGTAGCTCCTCTGTAGAATATTTTAGTATCAAGGGCTGAAAAAAATGTTGTTTGAATAATAAGGAAGTAGGTAAAAGGGGAGCATTTCCTTGGGTAATCTGAGAAACATGGGAGAAATCATTAGCAACAAGTATGTTTGAACAGCTCATCCTAATTTAATAGCAGTGAATCTGTAAAGGAGCTAACTTACAACACCATTTTGCAGGCCTTTGTCTTTTATAATTAAAGACCTCCTCCCAGAGCTGACCATGTTGATTGTCAGAGCCTAGCATCAATGAAAAAGACCCATTCTTGCTTACACTCGTGTTGCACTCTTATGAGAAAATTAATTCCAAAGCACGAATGAAGATGTTCAGCCAATTTAATTATGAGATTGACTGAATATTCCTAAACCTGTTTGCCAGGTTCAGAGACACACAGCCCACTATAAATGATTGTACCATTGTTGGATGCCATCCTGGGAGGGCACATTTGCCAGGATAGTCATCATCCAGGAAATAAATATGCTCTGTCCTGGAAATATATGGATGAAATAGAGCTCATCACTTGCGGTAGATGTCGTTCTGGCTTCATATTCACCCTTGGACAGACTTCCCCACAGATACACACTTGAACTGATATAATCACCATACTGGAAATATATGTGCAGGAGGTGGATTGAAACGATAGCGTGGGTGTGAGAATGTGCAAGGTGGAAGGTCTTTGGTCTTTGATCAGAAAGTACTTCATTCCAGATTTAGTGGGAGGATTTACTCATTGTCTGTCTTTGGTTATGTGGAAGATGCAGCCCCTTGAGACTGCCCCCCACACTCAAATCAATTTGTTGCAATGAGAGGAATGCTCTCATCAGTCTGTTGTGCTGCCTGCCCAGCCCGGCCCATAATGGGAATTTCTCTGTGTTGAAACAGATTTTTTCTTGTGATTTTCAGCTAAGCACTCTGTACCAAAAAGCTACTCAGCATGGTAAATCATAAAGCTGCTATCATGACCACTTGATACTGGTAAAGATCCAGCCATGGTTTTCAGGGTAACTGAGGAGTTAAACATTATATCCTGACTACATTTGATTTGAAAAAAATACATTTTTCTCAGCTAAGTCATGCCAATAATTTGAATCAGAGATAATATTTTTCTTACTCCAACCCCTACTTTGCTATCTAATATTGATACGTTTTATAAAGCGTTTTTGGTTCCTTTGAGATGAAAGACTGCACAGAAGTACAAGCTATTCTTAGGACTATAGATCCTCTCAACTTCCTCTTCATTCATCTTTATCTTGCAATATGTTTGTATTCCAAATTTTCTTTCAGATAAGAAATTATGATTATCAAAGGTCAGAAAGAAACAGGCAGTTCTCATTTATAATCTAGCTTCACCTGTAAGCAGTCTCTAGGCTCAGATTTTAGCTAACTGATGAGGGTGAAGATGCTACCTATTGTAGTCTATCTGAAGAGGTTTGTTTCTGCCTTAGTCACCTGAGAACACCCTTGAACTCATACAGATTCTATCTTTTCTATATTAAACCTCTCTTGTTTCTTGCACCTGTGCAGGAAGTTGGATGCTTTCATTTATGATGCAGCAGTGCTGAACTACATGGCTGGCAGAGATGAAGGCTGCAAACTGGTGACGATTGGAAGTGGGAAAGTGTTTGCCTCCACCGGCTATGGCATTGCCATCCAAAAGGACTCAGGCTGGAAGCGCCAGGTTGATCTTGCCATTCTACAGCTTTTTGGAGATGGTGAGTGGCAAGAAAAAGAGGAGTTGGAGTTTTCCTAAGACACACCAAATTTTGTGTGTAAGAAGTTCCTAGCTGTGGTGCTTCAGATCTGAGTTGAGAACAGGAAATTATTAACAAGGGTTTGTCAGAGGCAGTACACCAAAAATGTGAGAATGTCACTTGTTTTATGTTGTTGACGCAGGGTAGCAGTATCATCAAAAGCAGTGTCAAACCCATAAAAGGTTCACAGAACCAGCTCGGATGTGTGTCTGAAAAATATCTTGTACGAAGAATGTCTTGTGAAAATGAGATTTCTGTTATGAACTTTTCACTACCTTTGAAGTTCTACCATGACCAAATCCACTAATTAAACTGGACTTTCCATGGTCATTCCATGGCTTATACTTCTAGACAGGATCAAGCCATACATATTTTGGAGTGAGTTTTTAATCAGAATATTATAGTTATCCAGTTTATCTCACTCTTTACAGAGAAACTGCTATTATTAAAAAAAAAAATTGCTCACGGCATAAGAAATTCCTTCTTAGAAAATATTTTCCTGGCTTTCTCTTTCCGTTCCATATTACATGGTGCTGTGTCTTTTTTTATTATTTAAATAAATAAAATTCATACCTTATTTTATTTATGAGTATTTCTTTTTTCCTGAAATCTGAAAATGACATATTGTATAATAAATATGGAAAGAACATAGCTCTGATACACTTCAGCAGAAAATTGGCCACCTGATGGATAGGGTGTTCTGTCTCCTGAACGGCCTAATATGTATTATTTCAGGAAAAGTTGTAAGTTCTCCATAAAGCTTTAAAGACTCTGCCATGGTGCCACATAAATATATGTGGACTTTTTCTGCCCTGTCACTGGACTGGAGGTTGAAAGCGAAAATCTGGCAGCATGAAAAGAATTGCCAAACTGCAAAATTAGTTGTTTCTACATGTCTCAGTATGTGTGTGTGTGTGAGTGTTTATCTCTCTCTCTCCCCTCATGAAAATACCATAATGGAAATAAGTGGGGTATGAAATTAGACTACAGAACATTTGTTCCTAGCTGATACAAATTAGTAATATTTTAGATTGGTCAAAGAGGTTAGAAATATTGAATTTGCACAAAATTGAAGGGAAGAAAACCAGGTAAAAATGCACAAATATTTTTGGGAACGTTGCACCTAGTTTTAATGAGCTATGGATATGATAGAAACAAATTCAAAGCTGGACATTTTGATTTAAAAAACATCAACATTTTGAATTTTGATCTGGAAATGTATAATAGCTTCATTTAGAAGTGACTCATTTTTGTCTACTGATACAGTCACTGATTTTTCCCTTCATTGACCTAGTATGAAAGTGGAAGTTTGTGAGGCCAGGTCTTCAGTCAACTGGTGGATAACTTTTTCAGGACATCACTGCTTAATCATTTGGCAAGTGTGATAGCTCTGTCCTGTGGTACAGCTTTTTGTGGTTAATATCTGACTGTGGAAAAATCCTGTTGCCTCCCTTGTGACAAACTGCACCTACCTCTCTCAGAAGGACAGTCAGGATATTTCCTGGACTTAGTTGATTCAGACAAAGATCATGGCTACTAGAAATTACCTTAGGCCAGCTTCTTGCTTTTAATCTGCACCAGCACGAGCTCTTACCTGTTGAAGGCCTATCTAACACATTTCTTTCCTTCTCTCTGTCTTTCTAGGAGAGATGGAGGAGCTGGAAGCATTGTGGCTCACTGGCATTTGTCACAATGAGAAGAACGAGGTTATGAGCAGCCAGCTGGATATAGATAACATGGCAGGTGTCTTCTACATGCTGGGAGCAGCCATGGCCCTCAGTCTCATCACCTTCATCTGTGAGCATCTCTTCTACTGGCAATTCCGCCACTGCTTCATGGGTGTCTGTTCTGGCAAGCCTGGTGTGGTCTTCTCCATCAGTAGGGTGAGTATCTTTAGCTAGCGGGAAAAAAACAGAGGCTTTATTCAGACAGGCCAAGGCAGTGGAGGTGGGGAAACCCACCAAGACTGTCTGGCACACAGGTGGCATAGAGTGGTGGTCTGCAGGATAAAGACTGGCATCTTTTCACTATTAATGTTGCAAGAGCATCTAATATTTTTCTGTGACATCTCTGGTTTCTGCTGGATTATGGTCACGGAAATGGAAATTTCACATGGAAATGAAAATGCAGTATAAAGGGAAGTTAACTGTAACTGTCTGCTCCTCCAAAGTGAGTTGTGACTATCCAAATTTGGGGACAGTAAGTCAAGTAATGGAAAATGACATAATTAGATGTTCAGGAGTTTTCATGGTCCTCTGTATTAAAGCTCTTCAGCTGACCTTGCATTAACTAGAAGTGTGCTATCATGGGCAGTAAGAAGCCCCTAATAAAAAGTCATGCCCTAAACCATGCAAAAATCCTTCCAGAGAGGATGACCACATAAACCTAGCAATTGCTTTATGCAAATCTGCCTTAGGGTATAATACTTACATTTAAAGCAGATCCTAGTCATTTCTGAGTCATCTTTCTGGTATTAGTGTAGCTACCAGTGTCCCATTTGGAACATTTTTTTCTTCTTTCAAGCCATTGGTCCAATCTCTTGATCCAGTCTTAATGGAGGTCAAATCTCAGCATTTTTGACCTTGGTGTCCAGTGTAACAGAATTAACCTTGATTGTACAAGGAGTATATAATTGCTGCATAACATATTGTTGAGAAGAAATGACAAAGCCCTTTGAATGCAGAGGCACAACCTCTCTTCTATATTGTTAGTTTCTAACCTGGTTTAGTCTGGAGATGAGATGGGGGATTGTGTTTGATGATCCTTAGATAAGTACAGATTCTTTCATTCTGGACTTATCTATTAGACCTGGGCCATGTTGGTGAAAAGTCTGAAAACTGTTAATCATGTGGTAGCTGTTGAGAAAAGATGGTAACATGATGGGATGGTGTCCATTTCACAACTGACATTAATCAGCAAGCACCATTTGGTAGGTGAGGGAATAAATGAGCCCCTTTCCTTCTGCTCCTAAGGGTACTGCAAAGAGACTGTGTCATGGAGCTAGTGGGGAATGTGGAGGAATCAGGCACTTGTGCTGTCTGATTTGAGGTTAAATAGAGGACTTTTGCTTTCAAGGATGCCAGTTTGGAGCCTGTTATCACTGTTAAATTTAACAGAATGCAATTAAAAACTCTCTTGTACCTCACTCAACCAGATGCAGAAGACCTAAATACCTATTCGACAGTCCTGCTCTTTCTCTGTTTCCTCTTCTAGTCTGCACGGGTGATTAATGTAGCTAAGTTTATGACAAATGAAGCTGTTCTCTTTTTAAGATAGCTCCCATCTCATTGATTCACTGATGCCCACTTGAATTTCAAGGGCCAAAACAGACTTTCTTCCTCTCATCCACACAGAATCATTTGTCTTGATGTCTTTTTTGAGGGGTTTTTTTCTGAAGTTCATCAAAGCCAAGTGCCAGGTCATGCACTTGGGTCATAACAAACCCATGGAAGTCTACAGACTTGGGGATGTGTAGTTGGAAGACTGCATGTTGGAAAAGGACCTGGGGGTGTTTGTTGGTAGGTGGCTGAATACGAGCCAGCACCGTGCCTAAGTGGTCAAGAAGATCAATGGCATCCTGGCTTGTATTAGAAGTAGCGTGGCCAGCAGGAGTAGGGAAGTGATTGTCCCCCTGTGCTTGGCACCGGTTAGGCTGCACCTGAAGTGTTGTGTTCAGTTCTGGGCCCCTCACTACAAGAAGGACTTTGAGGCAATGCAGTGTGTCCAGAAAAGGGCAAAGAGGCTTATGAAGGGTCTGGAACACAGGTCCTATGAGTTGTGACTGGAGGAACTGGAATTGTTTAGCCTGGAGAAAAAGAGACTGAAGGGAGACCTTACTGCTCTTTACAACTACCTTAAAGGGGGTTGGAGAGAGGAGAGAGTCAGCCTTTTCTCCATAGTTACAAGCAATAGAACTGGAGGAAGTGGCTGCAAGTTGAGCCAGAGGAGGTTTAGCCTGGATATTACGACGAAGTTTTTCACTGAAAGAGTCATCAAGCATTGGAACCAGTTGCCTAGGGCAGTGGTGACATCACCATCCCTGGACGTATTTAAGAAATATGTTGATCTGGTGCTTAGAGACACGGTTTAGTGGTGACTTCGCAGTGCTAGATTGATGGTTGGACTCAATGATGTTAAAGGTCTCTTCCAACCAAAGAGATTCTGTGATTTTGTTCCCAATTATATTATTTTCCCTATTTGCAATTCCATGTTAGACCTACCAGATTTGAATATCTCTTACAAATGTAAGAAAATATTCCTGCATCCTACAGTTATGACATGAAGCACAGCAGAGGAAGAGGAACGGAAGGGAAGGAAAAGATGTGAGGGGCAAGAGAGGACCAGAAGAGCAAGGGTTCTGATTTCATTTGATTTGATTGTGTTTCATGATGGAAGGCTGACAGACCTTGCTGTCCTATAGGAACATGTTGTTGTTGCACAGAGTGCTTCTCCATCCAAGTCTCCTTTCGTGTAGTCTTTGCAGGATCCCTCACCTTCCTACTTTCTCTCATTTCAGGGTATCTACAGTTGCATCCATGGCGTGGCCATCGAGGAACGCCAGTCAGCAATGAACTCTCCCACGGCGACTATGAACAACACCCATTCCAACATCCTCCGCCTACTTCGGACAGCCAAGAACATGGCCAACCTGTCAGGGGTCAACGGCTCACCACAGAGTGCCCTGGACTTTATCCGCCGTGAGTCGTCTGTCTACGATATCTCTGAGCACCGCCGCAGCTTCACCCACTCAGACTGCAAGTCATACAACAACCCCCCCTGCGAGGAGAACCTCTTTAGTGACTATATTAGTGAGGTGGAAAGGACCTTTGGCAATCTGCAGCTGAAGGACAGCAATGTATATCAGGACCACTACCACCACCACCACCGCCCCCACAGCATTGGCAGCACCAGCTCCATTGATGGGCTCTACGACTGTGACAACCCGCCCTTCAACGCCCAGTCACGATCCATTGGGAAGAAACCCTTGGACCTGGGTTTACCCCCTGCCAAGCACAGCCAGCTGGGTGACCTTTACGGCAAATTCTCCTTCAAGAGTGACCGCTACGGGGGCAGCGGGACCCATGACGACCTGATCCGCTCGGACGTCTCTGACATTTCCACTCATACAGTCACCTACGGCAACATCGAGGGCAACGCAGCCAAACGACGGAAGCAGCAGTACAAGGACAGCCTGAAGAAGCGCCCAGCCTCTGCCAAGTCCCGGGGGGAGTTTGATGAGATAGAGCTGCCCTACCGCCGGCGCCCGCCCCGCTCGCCTGACCACAAGCGCTACTTCAGGGACAAGGAAGGGCTACGGGACTTCTACCTGGACCAGTTTCGGGCCAAGGAGAACTCGCCTCACTGGGAGCACGTGGACCTGACGGACATCTACAAAGAGCGGGGAGATGAGTTTAAGCGTGACACAGGAGGAGGAGGAGGAGGAGGAGGAGGAGGATCCTGCACCAATACGGACCACCACAAGCA